GAAAACGGATTTTGGCTAAAATACAACACGGTTAAATATGGTAAGAGTATATGCTAATAATGTTACTAACTCGTAAGTTAAATTTGATACAAAATTATCTCGATTAAAAATAAATAACAATTAATTACTATATAAACTAAACTTAATTTATTATTAAGGCTGTGGCGGACAATTGAATGAGACGGAAACGGCCGTGTTTAGTCCCAATTACCCTGGTCATTACCCCGATAACATAACGTGCCTGTGGAATATAACTGTCCCTGTTGGAAAATACATTGTACTAGATGTGCCAGAGTTTAAAACAGAACATGGTCGCGATATTGTTACCGTGTATACAGAGGCCGAGTACGTGCACTCGTATGGCGGTGTTATACCTGTCCAGCGAAGCTATTTGGCTACTTGGAGTGGACAGGTGGGCCATCTGAGCCCGATACATTTGTTAGTACCGGGCAATCAAGTGTTTGTAGAGTTTAAAAGTAATAAAAGGAATAGTGATGGTGGTTTTAGGATTGAATATAAGGCTAAGTCAATGGGTAAGTGTTTTGTTGTAATAAATTTTTTATGTGGTGAGAGAGAGAGAGAGAGAGAGAGAGAGAGAGAGAGATTGAGATTACGAAAGATTTTTGCTATTTTGTCACTAGCAGTTTTTACTATGCATAGAATATTTAATTGTAAAAACTTTACCTTAATTAATACTTTACAGTTTACTATATTGTTATGAAGATAACTTTTAACACAGATAAAAGAACAAAAATGTATAATCTGATTCAGTTTACTGTACAATATCTACTTGAGGTCTAATGCCAGCCAATTAATTTAGATATACAGTAATTATTTACATACATGCATTCTAAGTGATTATCTTATTACAGTGTATAATTTATTATCAGTCTCATTTTAAACACTGACAATTCTATGGCAACCCGTAGATCTATTTGTAAACAATCAACCTATTTTTGTGATAATTATACAAATACTAATTATATTACATTATTTAATTTTTTATTGTTTATCCTTACCAAAGGTCTACCACCGGACGCATACATATCCGCACCAAACATTATACTAAACACAAACAACACATCCCATCACCACATATATCACAGCTCAGCACTCGTTTACATAATTGATATCCAGACAAATATCATGATATATTTTACACCCGACCTCAACCAAATAACTGTCCGCAAATTGGCCAACAATGTATCGGGCAATCGGGAGCGTCGATACCGCATACCAACCGGTGCTCAACACCATAACATGGCCGTAGACTGGGATCACAAACTAGTTTACTGGATAGACACCAGCGATAACACCATCAAAGTGTTACCTTATGAACACAACCCTAAAAGCCTGGTATACACTGTGGGTAATCTAACTGACCAGGGTGATGACAGTAGGCCAATATCGCTAGTGTTCAACGCCGTGGAGGGCCGACTGGTATGGAGTAATGTTGGCGATCGACCAGCAATTATGACCGCCAACCCCGATGGTAGTGATCGGCGGGTGCTTTACAACAGTGATGACAATCGCCATCCCTTAGAGCGTCACTTGCAGTACATTATGGGGCATAAGTCCGGCCGAGACGGGCCCATACAGGCCAGTCATTTGACAATAGCATATCACGAGCGCAACTATTATTTTGTGGATATCGCTGACCATTCGCTGTATTCGCTTGACTTTTCCAGGCATCGATTGGAGTTGTATATAAAATCGCGGGCATTTTTTGGCCAAATAAACTCGATGCAAATGGTTGATGAGGATCTATACCTGGCCTGTCAGCACATGGTATACCGCTTGCCGGAGCTGTGGGAGCGGTTTACCAAGGCCGAAGTGTTGGCAAAAGTTAATCATGGTGATATGCCATTCATAGCCAACAGCAGTGATGTGTACTTTGAATACAAACCGCTGGTTATAGACAGGGATAGGATTAATGGGTTTATGTTAGCTAAACGGCCGCCGGCTGTGCGCAACGTATGGACAAACTGTCGGCACAATAACTGTAGCCACTTATGTGTGGCCAGCGGTGGACACACGGACTACCGATGTCTGTGTCCGATAGGCACCCGACTATCGTCGGTAAATCATCGCAAGTGTATCCCTATTAATAGTAATATCAGTAAAGTTAGTAATGGGATGTATGGCACACGTGGCCACCAGACGGCAAACACCTTGCTAATTGCCATGATAATTATCTCGCTCATTCTGTACATTATAAGGTGTGACTATGATTAATTTTTGGGTTGTATTTTTGTATAAATAAGGTAAATTTTAATACATTTAATTTGTCCCAGCTACAAAATCAGTGACTTGAGAAATGGCGTAAAGGTGAAACGCAAAAATACGTTTAGAAAGACTAGACTGAGATTGATCCTGGACAATCAGATGGGTGGACACGTTACGGGCACAGGTGGTAATAGTACGGTGGATGTGGCTGATGATGATGAATTGTTATAAATTATATTATGCTATTTTTGTGTCTATGTTTTATTTGTACATTTATTTATCATTGTTATTATAATAGTTTTATTATATATTAGTTGATATTTTAAACGGTATTTCAATTAAATCTAAATTATTCAACAATTATAAAGTTTATTATATTAAATAATAGAGGGCTATAGTATTTATATTAATTAAAATTAACTTCATATTGATTTATAGTTGTAAAACATTTTTTATAATTAACATGTTTAAATAATCATCTATGACAACAACAAAAAAGAGTATTACAGACCATAATAACAAATAATACAATTCTTGGGTCACATTTTGATCTTGTTATTTATACATTTGTTCATATGTTATTATAATTCTTGATATAAAATTGTTTATTTTTAAATTTTGAATTAATCTCTATTGTTTAAATATAATATTTAACTTGTGAAAATAAAAGTTTATGGTTAATTATTTATCAAAATAATTATTCATGGTAAAAAGAATTAGGTTTGTAGAAGTCACACATTAAATAATTTTAAAATGTAAATTATTAGCCATTGTACAATGATTAGCTCATTATATATTATGGAGTACTAAAATTAGCCACCGTGCCAATGATCCAGTCAATTTTAAGCGACACCCTGGTGAACCATGCTCGCTTATTGGGATCTTGAACAACACAATGAGCGGTTGGTATGGGCTCCACACCCCTGGATATACCGATCAGTACAGCCACACCGTCCACGTACTGTATCAATGGACCACCAGAATCACCCTGATAAATAATAATTAGCACATAGTATTTAACATTTGTGTTGTACGAACAGCGCATAGAGTTGCACCATGGTCATATTTCACAGGTAACTCTTCGCGCCAGCTATCGGTTTGATTATTGAACGGTCGCAAAAGCCGTGATTAACCCATACGCAAACGATCCGTATTTACCCCGTTGTTTAGTTTACCAAAACCGGCCATCACGGCGTACTCTTCGTACCGGTTGTACACCGCCTTACGTGGCAGACACACACCGTTAACAGCCCTGTGTCCGGTGCTGTTCGCGAACTGGATGGGCTCGTTCAGTTTGAGCATGCCTATGTCAAACGCGTCCCATTTGTGTTTTACATAGTTCTCCGGTATAAAGTAGGTGTGGGATGTGTGGGCCGCCACTCGGCCGATGTCGGCCACGTTCTGGAGTCCCGGATAGACCCGTATGTTGTGCGACCAGCAAACTGTGCCGTCCCGTTTTTTGCAACTAGTTATGGTGATTTTTTTTGTTATTTTAGTTTTATTTAACATGTTAATAAGATTTTTAATTTATAATGTTGGTAAAATATTTATGGATTGTTGCACCACTTACTTGACCACGTGACCGGCGGTTAACACCCACCTGGAATTTAATATAACGCCCGTTGCCTGATAGTTTCTAGATTAATTAGAC